CCACTACCTGATAACAGAATGTGCCGCTAGATTACATACATTATAAAAGAACTAGACTACGAAAATACTCAAATTAAAGAGAATGGAAATATGAGACGAGTCCGCTTTGTCCCAAGCCGATAGTTACCAACTTACTCCAAACATATATGTCAGAGAAATCATGAGGGTCGATCGCTTATCGTTTCCGCGAAAGATAGGTAAGATCCTTCTCCGGCCTGTGCAACCTTCACATATAACTTCCAAACTTACTTCACGCGCTATCCCGGCACAATCCAAAAGCTCTAACAATCACTTTGCTCAACCGTTAAAACAAACTTCATTTGAGCTCACTGGCAGAACTGCCAGCACGATCAGTAAGGATACGTGGGAAGTAAAAAAGAAATGTTCAAAACGAGCTTGGAAATAAAAGAGGTATTAGGTTGCTGCATAGTTCTGTCCGATTTTTTCTGCCTTATGTTTGAAGCAGCTGTTCTAAGAGAATTTCATCTCTAATGCGGTAGTGTTAGCACCATTAGAAAGTGCTTTTCTTGCGCTTTTCAAAGCATATCAAATTTCAATAAATTTCTTGATGTAATAAGGAGATTTCAGGCCTAAAATTTCCAAGTGGTTGAGGTAGGTTCTCACTCTAAAGATATGTTCTTGCAAGGAAATCTCCACAATGCGCCCTTCAGGTCAAGTTTTTTAAACGGTTCCGGAATAAGGGTGTAACAAACTAGCATACGCGTAAGTTCAGTTTCATGGAAAACATATTGCTAGTAAAATTTATTGTCAAATATTAATTTTCTATATAGATGTTTTACAAGCTATAACTTTCTGCGAATAGAAGTAGTCGACGACTGCAAAGTTGGAGATGCTAGGGTAAAATAAGGGCTAGCAGAAACCATCACCCAATTTCTTTTCGGCGCCCATGTCAATTGTAAAACTTTCATAATTCGTAAATAGGCAAGCAAACATGCACTGAGACGAGGTCAAAAAGTGGGTTCTTTTTTGCTCGGTCAAAAAAATCCCTCGGCAACGCAGACCCTATGGGCTCTTTTATGTCGCAAATAATCCACGAAAAATTCTCTATCCATTCGTTGTTAGACAAAATGCCTATCAATTCTCATAAAGGAGCATTGCCATGTCAAAAATGACAGGTTCGAATAAAAACGCTGTGAAGTTTTTGAGTTCTTGCTTCTTCCTTAACAAGGATTTTCGCAGATATCAATACGTATCTGATAGCCAAAGAATTGCTCAATACATAGAAACTAAGAAGTTGGGAAAAGGTTGATCTTGAAGAGAGTTATGACATTTTGAACTCAAAATAATCAAATCGGACAGAACTTATGCAGCAACCTAATATATTCTAGTTGCTTCACATACCCCTCGACTTGGCAACGCGCCCAGCAGGAGGAGTCCGAGCGCTAAAACGGTAGCACGCCTATCCAGCGACATGCAGCACTCCCAGCACCTGAATCGAGGAGAGGCTTGCATTGCATGAGCCGCGACACTCTCTGCTCCTGAGAAAGAAGTTGGAGTGCTTAAGTTTGTAGTTGAAGGGGGAACAACTGAAAAGAAATCCCACATCGTTGCATAGAAAGCAACCTTAAAGGCAGCGTCGAGGCAAATCTGGACATATGCTGCTCTCACATGGATCGTAATCTTGGGACCCTAATGAGCCTGCCCAAGCGGCAGCTGAGGTAGTGCTCTAACGGCTGAGATATTCGCCTTGAAACTAAACCCCGGGATCGTATTGCGGCATGGATTCATGGCGCAACCCATGGGTCCGCGCGAAATTGATGGGTTGCGCCATGAATCCATGCAAAATACGATCCCGGGGCCCAGTTTCGAGGCGAATATTTCAGCCGTTAGTGCACTACCTGGACTGACGGTTGGGCAGTGGCTTAGTTAGGGCTCCAAAATTACGATCCGCGTGAGAGCCCCATATGTCCAGATTTGCCTGAACGCTGCCGTTAAGTGAGAATTTTGGTCTCATTGACAAGTTTTGGAAGCTTCATTGTTTGCAATAAATTTGCACCAAAATACTGCTAAGATCTTGAATGTTAAACAGTATAGAAAAAAATTTGCCCCTGCAAGTATTTGCAGCCCCGCTGCGCTGGCTAATCTCACAATTTCTTCTTTCAAATTTTTTCATACCCAAGGGGCCACTTATGACTACAAAGCGGGCTTAACCCGAAACATTTACTTTTTGTTGGAACGCTGGCTTGCTGAGCCACTGAAGAGAAAAAGTGTGTTTCTGCTTCATCATTCATCTTCGTAAGGGAGTGTCTTCTTCTTGTTTTGCTTGTCTTTCATCTATCTCGTTTTACTTCCCTTTGCGGTTGCTATAACTCAAAAGATGTGATAAAGGCTGCAGAAGCACTAGAGTATTGGTGTACAATCGCAGGTGTACGCTGTTTTCTGTATTATGTTTCCTTTTCTTTATATCAGTAAACGATAACAAAAGTAAATATCTATTCAGAAAATCACTAGACTCCGTTTCATATCTGCTCTTAGGTGCAATGTAAAAGAATTTGTGTACTTCCATTGGAACTCTGACCTGTGGATTTGGGGTGGAGGACATTAGGTCGCCGAAAGAGGGCGGTCCCTGCGGTCATTTGCGACAAATACGCACCCTTGTACATACGCGGACATGCGTTCCTGCAGGAAATCCGCGCGGGACTCTTCCAAATTCGGCGACCTAATGTCCTCCACCCGTGGATTTGTGCATGTTTCAGATTGAAATATATCAATTCCAGGATTCATAACTGGTAGAATTTGACGTTTTTGAAATTAACATCTGTATTGGTTCGTTGTGCATTTACTGCACGTACTGGCTTGATAGAAGCTCGAAATATATGCACGTAAGTATTCGAGAACTTGGTAAACTTCTATCACTGTCTTGTTCTTTTGCGAATAATGCTTGTATTTAGTTTTTTTTTAGAAAATTGTGAAAAGAAGTTGCATGTATTTAAAACACGTTATTACTGCTTTCACCTGCTGTTGGTTAAATTTTGCAGAAACACGCACTTCACATTTACTAAAGTGCACTAGACGCTCCACAAAATGCTACGACAATTGCTAAGAAGATTGAAAATGTACTCACATTCAGCTGATGTCACTGTCGTAGTTAGTGCTCCGAACATAGTATTTCGATGTGCCGCATGCTCAAAAAATGAGGAACACTTGTTTATTTCCCTGAAAAAAAAACATAGGGTGATCAATATGCATCATTATTGAAATTCTAAAGCTCATTTCATTGCTGAGGAAATTGTGAGCGCTTAGAGCTAATACTACTTCAAAGAAATCTTTTCTACTTTTTCCATAGGCCTTCACCTTTCATTTAAGGTTTCGTACTTGCAGAGGATCAAATTTACTTACATTACATTATTAAGTTATGTGCATGCGTGGAAACCTTTCAAAAATTTCTGATTCTTCTCTCCTTCTTTCCCTAAAGCAACGATTCCGCTCAGGGCTCGGCACGAGTTGGCATCAGAGACATTTTAAAACGAAGCCCCCTGTGATGTTGAAAACTCCTTACAAGGTCCCCACTCTAAACCCCAAACGTAAAAAAAAACCCTTAAAAACGAAACGTTGCCAAAAAAGCGCAATTTTTGTGTCTTTTCGGCCACAAAAACGACATCTCCTTTGCTTTTTGTCCCAAAAACGGTATCCAGCTTGACCCGGTGCCGGCTATGCCGAGCCCTGATTCGCTCTATTTCTCCATTTTGCTTTTTGGACTTATGAAACATCGTCGAGTTAGTGCGCATAATACTCGTGGACAAAAAGAAATTAAATGTGTCGGAATTTCAATGTCGCATAGAAGATTGCACATAAGGTTGTTGGCAGATTTCATAAATCCGTATGCTCCTTGATATCTGCTGAATTACCTTGCCTTTACTCGGTGAAATTTCCAACTCTAAAATGCTGTTGATATGATTCTATCTTCCTTGGTTCATTATTTCCCATTAGAGTTTACACAAGGATGGTTCTCTATCAGGGGTCTCCCAAAACATATCCCTACTATTCGATCTAGAACATCTCTCTTTCTCTACAATTTCTGCCAAGTTTCAAGCACCATTTTGAACTGGCTTCAACTTACAAGGGAAGTTACCTAAATTAGCTCGGCCTTTTGGCAAGGTACACATATAGTCTGAATCAGCTTCAAACGCCGATTCCAATTATGGTATTCCTAGCTGCCATGCACCACTCCGAAGCGAGTTATGGGCTTTTTCCTGCGCAAAATTGGCATGCTCATCGACTCACTGGCATCACGTGTCAGGCCAATCTTTTTTTGTACAAGAATCTCAAACCTTTGCCAAACTCAAAGCTATTTCACGCAAATTTGAAAATAAGAGTGTTTCTCTTCATCCTCCAAGATCTGTTGCAATCTGCAAGGATATCAGAATTGGTCACTTCCAACTTTTCGTCCTTGCAACTACATTCTGATGCTAGTACAGCTCATTAATTGCCGACTCGCTTTGCATTATTGGTGTGATGGCTAGAAAGTTATGTTCGAACCATGTATAGATGAAGTGCTGAATGGCCTCCCTAATTTGTGATTATTTCATCTTGTCCTCCACTGTTTTAAGGTGGTGGAATACGCTAAAAATAAGTCACTGTTTGTAGTTGCCTATGATAATTTAATTGTCAAGCAACTTTAAGGCTCTGCAAATAGTGCAGCCAACCATGATGTTTATATGTTTACAAACTTTACTAATTATTTACTAACCTGATATCGCAGCCATTCGTGATAGCTTACCAAAAATCTCGTCATTGCCTGCTCATGGTTCTATTCATATTTTTCAGGAGCTCACCTTTTTTACGGTACCTCAGATTGCATAATCTATAAGCTTTACACAGTAGTCAGACTTCAATTTTTTACACAAATTGTCGCACACTTTAGACATAATGACTTGAACTTGAAAAATTATGGACAGTCGCTGTGCATTTTAGAAAGAATCTCCGTACATTGGAAAACAGTTCTAAACAGTTCTAAACAAAAAAATATTTGTACATATTTAGGACTTGCTAGAGCTAAGAGCTAGAGCACAAATTCCAAAAATGCATACGCAAAGGTTTATGCATAACTCGGCAGTTTCTTCGTCTTCTTTTTGTTTGCACCTGCGGCATATATCTGCAATTGATATTTTCAAATGCAATATAATTTTCATCAAAATACTCTTACCGTTGTGACCATGGTGGCACGAAACATTGCAACTACTCGCACTGAAAAAATTCAAATTTTCTGACTCCACTGGAAACCCGAAATATAAATCACTCACCAAGGGATGGGTGTTGGTTGCTCTATTATCGTTGTTGATGGTTTGGGTAACGTTGTTTGAATTTTATGCGCTGTCTGATCGTGAAACCTGGGCATGTGTAGTGTATCTCAGAGTTTTTACCCAAATAGGCCGAATAAAACTTACATATCAAGCCTGTTTTGGTTAAGAAAGCTCTGAGTTGTTTGGACTATTCGTCCGCTGACTGTGGTATCAACTTCCTCGTATTCTGGAGGGGCACTAGGTACTTCTGGCTTTGCCTAAAATTTTCAATCTGGGGAGAAACGGAAGTGAAGAGAACAGGGAACTTACTGATGCTATAGATAACGAGTGAACTCTGGCCTCTTCATAAGCGGGAAGAGGAAATTCGAGCGAAGTGCTAGGTTCCTCTGGAGGAGCACTGGGTACTTCTAGCTTTGCCTGTAATTATCAATCTGGGGGGGGGGGGGGGGGGAGGGAGAGAGGGAGGGAAGCTAAGAGAACAGAGAACTTACTGATGGTGTAGATAAGAAGCCTCTGGCTTGTTTGTAAGTGGGAAGGGGAAAATCGGGCGAGGTGCTGGGTTTCATGGACTAAATTGACTATTATTCTTTCATTTCTTATTTTAGCTGAAACGTTGATCCAATGACAAAGCAATAGCAAATAAACTAGCTTCACTAGAATGAAATAAAGAAGAATTCACCCATAATTTTCGTACAAAACAAATTCACTTAGAAAAGAAAATGTACAATGAAATGAGTAGAACCTTGAACACTTATTCTCATGCAGGCTTTATAAAAAAATCTAAGATTTCAGGTAACATAACATTTGATCAATTTGATTTATATGCCAAAAGGCACTAAATGGTCCCAAAAATTTCACTGTCTTTGAGAAATAAGATTTTCGAAAGCAGTAAGGTCATAGTAGAGGTTAAGGTGGTCATATTCAGAAGAGTACGATTTTCGATAAAGCAATGAAATACACCAAAATTAGAGATCACGACTGCGATTCAACAGCAGAGAGTCAAATAGTGAAAACGTCTAAAGCAAAAATTGGGAACTTTGAAGTTGAGCACTGATAATCACTAAATGCTGATAGGTTCGTCTGAGCAGCAGCTTTATAGTGTTGGCAAAGGTGAAGAATGGGTGGAAGTGACGTCAATTATGCAGCTCAGCAGGCTGAATCACTTTTTTCACAAACTACAAAATGTGTTTGGATCACTTTTGTCTACTTCTTCAGTAATTTTCTCGTTTTGGCGATGCTTCAATATAAGCTGAAAAGAAAATCTTTGTATAGTTTAGAATGGACTTACTATCTCTCAGGATGCATTTGTACTCTCGTATTAATTTATGTGGTTTGTATGCGAGCGAGTTGGTAGAAGCTGAGCCAAAAAATTGTGGGAGGGGGAATGTGAGAGGAGAGAGTTGGGCACTTTTCGGATACCCTTTTTCTTGTTATTTGAGCACAACTCCATACAGCCTGTGCATGTATGCATGTATCCGAACCATTTGTCACTTAATATGTGAGTCAGCACAGCGCGGTAAAATTCTCGGTAAGACCTTTTCTTAGCAATGTAGAAATATTTGCTACTAACTGGCACATATTCAATCAAGTCAAAAGGGAAAAGAAAGCAAAGAGAAGTCACTGGAACTAGGTAGGTTCTGATCTTGAAAACCATTAGTTTGCGCGCATGCGAGCAAAGCGCATGCTGAGTTATGAATGACTCGACCATAGACTATAACCAAATGATGTAGTGCCACAGCAATTAGGAAAGGTGGTAGGAATCTGAGAGTTCCATCTAATCTTTGATTCAACTGGCTTGGCGGCCCTAAGGCGTGGCTTTGTGGCCTAATTGAGGCCGCTCGCGCTCGCTACGCAGTCTGCGTCTCTCTCTCGCGAGTACTCTCTGATCACTATCTAGTTATTAGGTCAGAAGCCTGCCTTTCAGTCGCCAAGTTAGTTGAGCCGAAAGGTAGATTCTATGTTTTCGAATAATGCGACTTTTCAATATGCTTGCGGTCGGTATCATCTTGTAAGCTTGCTTCGGTTCGCAGAAGTTTGACGGAAACATGATTTGCTCGAACGCAGTAAACACTGCAGCAGGTAGAATCCTAGTTGGTACTTATCCAGTGGAAACAACGGGCATCCGCACGGGTGTTGATGAACGTAAGAGGTTGGCGTAGAAGTTCTTGTGATAACTTCCATCTTTTGCAGGGATAAAGTCGGGGTCCCGTCTTCGTTCAATAGTGCAGTTAGCGGTATGTGATATTCACAGTTTTTTTTATTGTTACATAGGGTGACCCCCATGTGCAAAGTCGGACAACAAAAACAAAAACGTAAAACAAAAAGAGAACAATAAAACAGAACACATTAACGACATGATAAAAAAAACCAGCCTGAGGTGTAAAAGATCGAACGCAGCTTCTCGATTGTAAGTAGCTCTTAATGTTTGTTTTGAAGGTAGATAGCTTGACCGTCAAAATGCCGTTCCTTACCATATGATCAAGATCACGTAAAACACGGCAAGTATAAAAGTTTGCTCTGACTCTGGACTTTGCTCTCGGCAGCACTAGTTTCAGTTTCACTAGCAATGAGCTTACAATGTTCATCAAATGTAAGCTCATTTCTGATTAGTTCCTTCTGCACTTCTTGAGACTTTCGTCCTCCGGCTGTTTTCAGTATATTGGCTTGCCTGTAACTTCCTTAAGATCCTTCTGCAAAGCTGTTCAGTAAGGGGGGGGGGGTGGCTATCAGTCGCTCCAGATGGGTTGCATTCGGATCCTGCTCCAGAAATCTTCTTCTTTCAAGCAATTCCTTGGTGGTCTTTAAAATATGTTCCAAGTTCTTCTCAGAGGTCACTGAGGCGCACTCTCCGCAGGCTCGTAATCGTTTCGAAAGCCGGTCACAGTCGTACGTTGGGTCCCCCTGTCCTCCTCGATGGGCCAGTCACAATCTGGTATGAGCTCTTCCAGCCTGTTACGTCATAAACTACATTCCTCCTTCTTGCGGTACTATGGCAGACCTTGAGCTTTCGACTGAATTGTACCTTCGCTCGAAAGAGGCGCTGTTCGGAGCCACCGCAGAAAGATGTAACTATTAAGACATCGAGCAAGCCCCACCTTCGGTTGGTGAGAATATAGTCTATCTCCGCGTGAGTTGTTGCGTTGGTGACACTCGGTTCTGGGGCGTCGAGGTAGACGTGGAGGTTGGCGTTATCGGAGACTTTTTTGACGTTGTAGGCGCAGAGCATGAGGCAGTCTCCATGGTGTCTCGCAGCAGACGGGTCATTCTTTCCAATCGGCGCCTTGAGGATCCTAACATCGTTTATGTTACCTATTTTCATCGAAAACGAGATGGCGGTGGATCTGGCCTTCTGGCTCTTAGCTAAGTACGACAGTAAACGGAAATGAATCCTGTGTGACTTAGTTCCAGGAATTATCGATTACTTTAATGCTATCGATTTTTTGCAAAGTTTGAGCTATGGGTATGGGAGTTAGCATAGTTTCTGCAAATTTAATTGTTCTGCAAACAGTGCAGCCATCCATGATGCTTACAAAATTTGTCAATTATTTTGTTAGCAGATATTGCAGCCATCCGATGCATCAAAAACATCCCCTGTCTGCCGTAATTCCATATGTGTATTTCATGAGCTATCTATTTTATAATATTACCTAGAATTACATGATCTATAAATAGCGTTTCATACAGTCGTCAGATTTTCCACAAACTTTCGAGATGTTCCTCATAAGTTATTGTACACTCTAGACATATGATTTGAACCTGAAAAATTATGGGCAGTCACTGTCCTTTTTCAAGAGGGTTTACGTACGGTGAAAAACATGTTCCAAACAAAAATAAAATTTATACATATTTAGGACTTGCTAGAGTTAAGAACTAGAGCACAAATTCCAAAAATGCATGCGCAAAGGTTTATGCATAACTCGGCAGTTTCTTCATCTTCTTTTTGTTTGCACCTGCGGCATATATCTGCAATCAATATTTTCAAATACAATGTAATTTTCATCAAAAACCTTACCGTTGTGACTATGACTGCATGAAACATTGCAACTACTCGCACTAAAAAGATTCAAATTTTTATACTCTTTTGGAAATCCAGAAATATAAATTCCTCACCAGTGGATAGGTGTTGGCTGCTCCATTATCGTTGTTGATGGTTCAGGAAATGTTGTTTGGATTATTCGCCGGCTGATTGTTGTGTCAACCTCTTCGTATTCTGGAGGGGCACTAGGTACTTCTGGCTTTGCCTATAATTTTCGAATTAGGGACCCGGAAGCGAACAGGACACGACAAGGAACTTACTGATAGTGCAGATAAGGAGTGCACTCTGGCCTGTTCGTAAGTGGGCAGGGAAGAACAGGGTGAAGTGCTAGGTTCGTCTGGCGGGGCACTAGGTACTTCTGGCTTTGTCTAAAATTTTGATTGGGGCCCGAACGTGAGAGGGGACAGGGAACTTACTGAAGTAGATAAGGAGTGAACTCTGGCCGGCTTGTTAGTGGATAGGCTGACATTGGGCGAAGTACTGGGTTCCATAAGCTGGATATTGATGTTTTTTTTTAATTTTTTCCTGCATTCAATTGTCGACAACTGTATGACAAAGCGATAAGAATGAACTAGCTCCACTACATTATATGAACGATAAAAAGAAAAATTCACATATTTTTTCACAAATCACTGCAGAAGAGAGTATACCATAATGAAAGAACTTCGAGTATTTATTGTCATGCAGACTTTAGTAAAAAGTTTTAAGTCTTAATAAAATATTTAATTAATTCGATACCTATGGAAAGGCGATTGTATCAACGATCACCCCTAGATGCTACTGTTTTTCGAAAATGAGATCCTATTTGAAGGCAAAGAGCTGTTGGAAAAATCGAGCTGGTATGTTCCAAAAAATACTCAAATTTTTCGAAAAGGCATTAACACGAACAGAAATTATGAGAACAGTAATATGTAAATTAACAATCAAATGTTTTGAAGCGTCAAAAGTGGAACATTGCAAATTTTAGCACTGATAATCACTGAATGCTGATAAGTTTGCCTGGGAAGCTTTATAATCTTGGCATCGGTGAAGAACGGGTGGAAATGACGTCACTTTTAGGCTCATATCGAAGCTCAGCAGGCTGATTCACTGTTTTTCACAAACTACAAAGTTTGAGTCATTTTCATGCCTATTTGTGAAGTTGAAAGGTGGAAACATAGGTTTCGTTACTCTTACGAGAAATAACCCTCATAACAGTTTTCAAGATTTTCTACCATTACAATTCGGTGATTGAGCTTTCTAATAAATATATATGTACATGCCAAATGAAAACAGCTTTCAGCACTGCAAATTTCAGAGCTAAATTTTTAAAGATTTTTAACTTGATTGAACTCAATGGTAATAAAATACATTAGGATGAATTTTTGAAATTAAAGTGGAAATGGATGCTGCCTTTGTTTGCTTAAACCTACTGTTTCCTATCCAACCATATTTACGTATTTTTAGCACAAAACAAAGTTCAATATCCCCATACGTTGGCGATTTGTGAGCTTTTTCCACTGAGCTCAGAAGAGATTACAACCGAAAGTGTATATATCACCTGGCTGCTCCAGCAAAAAGTTTTTTTGGAGAGAAGGAGGAAATGGGGAAAAGAAATGGGATGAACAACTCTATCAAAAAGATGTGCTTTTATAATCTCGTACTTGCTTAGAGATATGAGAGTTTTGTTAAATAGATGTCATTTTAAATTAACTGCATCTCATGCGGAATTTCAATTTTCCAAATTGAGATGTTTGCCGCAAAATCGATTCTATCATGAAAGTTCTCTTGCAAGCTCCAAATCTAATTTCTTGCAGTCTTCATGAAATACAAGAAACATCAGTGAACCTTCTATTTCAAAACATAGTCGCGGTAATTTTATTTTAGGAGCTCTTCTGTAAGCTCTACACGGTCTTGCATTTCTTTTAATCGCTTATAGTTTGTACAAACTGCAAAGAGCTTCTGGCAATATATGAGCATCTAATAAAAAATATCATTATTGTTTGGTCATGACTTTCATCGCATTCCTGAAATGTCAAAAACACTATTTTGTTTCAAAAGTCTTTCACAATTACAGCCCCATTTTCTAATTGTTGAGGAGTAGAACATGAAATATTTTATGCTTTTTCCACTTTTGAAGTGACGTCAGTGGTTTTCAAGACAAGTCATTTGACATAAATTTGCTTTTGAGCTTGTCGTTTTCGGTAGATTTCCTGAGGCGGAAAGCAGGAAATGAAGTTTTGATTGACTTTTTGTCTTTTCGTCGCCGAGGATTTGCGGAAGTCATTCATGCAATGACAATCGAGGTTGATTCGTTTCAAATATTGTGAAGTGCTGAAGTACGTTAAAGGGTTTTGGTTTTTGAACAAAAATCCCTATAAGCTCCAAAAATGTCATAAATTTTCAAATATATCGGAGGGATAAACAATTATTCATCATATAGAGATGCTACCAAGCAGAATGAGTTTTGTTTTCCTGACCATGATGTCGTAGAACACTAGATCAAGTTTTGAGCAATCTGTAACAATCTGCAGGCTCTTCCTCACCGTGCGCCTACAATAATCCTTACTGAAAGTGCAATATTTGGCTGAATATTGGCAACCTTTGTGGCTCACATCATATTCTATTAGGTTGAACCGAAAGAGTTCTGTCGCACCATTTTCAAAAAATCATAACTTCTTTCCCTCACAACGATTTTGCGCAATTCAAATTTTATCTGGAAGCGTAAAGCATATTGTTACTAAAAGTTCCCTGGACATTCCAACATGCTCAAGTCGCAAAGATAAAAATGATAGAACGAGATCATCCGAAATTCGGAATTTTTAAGCAAGAGATTTGAAAATTCAGGAACTGTGCGATAAAATCCATAAAAGCCATTATTCTGATTTTTCGTATATTTGATTACTAACCGAGTCAAGTTTGTACTGTTATACCGAGTTAGCTTGTACCGAGCACTTCTTTCAAAAGTTATGATTTTTTGAAAAAAAAATACCCGAAAAATCAATTTTTTAAGAAATCTTAAGTTAATTTTTTGGCATTTTTTTTTCAAAAAATCATAACTTTGGGAAGAAGGGATCTATCAGCACAAACTTGACTCAGTTAGTAATCAAATATAAGAAAAACTAGGATAATGGTTTTTGGATTTTATCGCACAGTTTGTGAAATTTTAGAATTCTTGCTTAAAAATTCCGAATTTCGGATGATCTCGTTCTTTCATTTTTATCTCTGCAACCTGAGCATATTGGAAAGTCCCAGAGAAAATTTGGAAACTACGTGCTTTACGCTTTCAGATAAAATTTGAATTGCGCAAAATCGTTGTGAGGGAAAGAAGTAATGATTTTTTGAAAATGGTGCGACAGAACTTTCGGTTCAACCTATTATATGATGCCAAAATTTGAATGTGCCATGTGCAAAAAGGGAAAGTTGTTGGGAAAGCTGCGAAGCTTAAATCCGAACCCATAAATTCTCGTAACAATTTTTTCCTATTATTTGAGTCAATATTATGGGTTATAGAAGATAACAGAATTTTGCTTACGGTCTCGGTTTTTGTGCGCTATGTAAACTTATGAAGATTTTTCATCTTTCGTCCCATCCATGCGTGCCCCTCCTCTCTTATAATGTCTTTGACTGTTAAAAAGCTTGTAGGGTCTCAAATCTTTGTATTGCGGTCATACGCATATTCCCACCAAGCGTTTTGCTTTTGAAGTTGAAAAACCATTAAACATGCTAATCTGGGTTCTAATTTTTTGTTAATAGCAAGCGTTACTAAGTGTAATGGTCCGAAGGTTCGTTCGCACCTTAATAAAACAAAACTCTTTCGCCTCCGAATGAAAACTACTGATTTATTTTTGCTCAGAAGCAGAATTCGAATTCATGCCCTTCCGAGTGTTTTTGATCTAACATTATGGGAAAGTGCGAGAGTTACGAGTAGAAAAAATAGACAAAAAATGGCAGTTTAACTCAGAATTTTAACGAATCTTGAGAATATTTTTGTTAAAAAGATACGCATCAGAGTAGTAATCTATCGTGAGTCAGTATGAGTGAGACCTACATAGTAATAGACGCTTTCTCGCAAATTGGTTACTTTCTGTGTAACCACAGGGTAAAATTTTTTTTCTGCTCCTGAATACCAGTTTGGGTAAATCTCCTCATCTGCTTTTGATATCTTCAAAGCTAATAGTTCTCATAAAAGGTATAGCTATGTATAAGGAGCACGGTTTCTGCTCTTCGAAGAAGTAAAATTTCAAGGAGTTTCAATAAGATGCAAAGAAGTAATGAATTCTTGGCGACAATCTAATAATTATGATTTTTAATGGATGATTATTGCTTTCGAGCCTGCCTCCCTTCAAAAACGAAATATTCCTGAAGTATGGCGAAACCTTCGTTAGAACCATGTGTTTCTTGTTTAAGAGCTTAGAGTCATATATTAAAATATGAATTGCCATTAATCATCGCCTTGACGTTTTTCGGGCTGGCTGTGTACGAATTCATTTCGTAGTCAACGAACAGTTTCGTTTCTTTATAATCAGCATTGCCTTTTGGCTTCAATTGCTTTCTGATCTCAGATCTTACGTTTAAGCGCGCAGTACGGCAATGAATGCTTTCCACATTAGTACAAGTATAAAAGCCCATAACGATTTGCAAAAGCGCAGAAATTATTGCTATTGCACGAAGAACGATTGTAGATAATGCTGCATTTTTGCATTTGAATTTGAAGAGCTATTTCGTGAGCAATTAAATCTTATTGCAATGTAATGGCTATGTTCATGGCAATAATCGCGTATCTCCTCTTTCCTTTTTGCGTTAGATTTAGTGAGCTGTATTACAAAAAACAAATTGCTTTCAGACATTGGCTTGCTTGTCTGATTGTTAATGTGGTAATCTCTTCACGTTTTGAAAAAAATTTGATACTAGTTGAGACTGAACTCTTCTGGTTCTCAGTCCAAAACGTATTTTTGTGGTGTTGTAGTCATGAATTTTCGCACCGTTTAAGCAAAAAAGTTCTCATATGTATGTATTCTCTATAAAATATGCCAATATGCAGGATTAACAGATAATTTTGATTTTCCGGTTTTTCGCCGAACTCACAATCTTTGTTTATTTGAAGGAAAAGTTTTACGGGCTTTAGAGAAGCGCCGAACTGAAATCCGTCTCAATTTTGTGATTTATGGTTGGTCTTTTAATTGGTTTTGCTTTTCAATCTCATTTATTGCTTTCCGCTAAGCGTATTGAAAATTAATCTCAAAATATGTTCGAGATTTACTCACGTTGCTGAAGTAATGACAGCAACTCCCAGATTGGAAAAAAAGTGACGTTTTCAAAAAAAATCGTGAGATAATCTCGTAATCACCGCGATTTCTCACTTTAGCCTCCTATATTATGATTTATTCGACAACATGCTATCTCAGCAATCATAAAAAAAGAAAGTAGAGTAAGTTTTTACTAAGCTACATGAACTTCGCAAATTACCTTGTTGTACACAAACTACAACTTTTTTTCACTGAATTTGTGCCAGGGAAATTTCTTCGAAGCATGCAGCACGTTTGCATCACAATGAACTCTCCCAGACGAAAAAAAAAGTTATCCCATCAACATGCATTGCCTCTTCGTACGAATTAGGTTTACGTTTTTTGGAAGTTTAATCTTGTATAGAGCGCAGTAGCGTTATTCGCCTCGTTTCGTTCATTCCACAGAATAATTTTTAAAAGTCATGAAGCGTCTGCTCGAAGTTTGTCAAATAATCATTTTTTTTGTTGGAGTAAGTCTACATTTACCATCTTTTTTTCTGTATACATTCTTCTACAGTAATCCTACTTTAATTCATCATGTATTTCCTTGTTTCCTTGTTTTTGCAACGAATTTGAACTTTTGTTGATTACTAATTGACGTCCCAGTGACTTTTTTGGACAGTATCCAGGATTCGAGCACCATGTTTTTTGATTGCTTGTGCTGTTTTGCTGAGGACGTAGCAGACAATGATTGGTTTTCTGTTCGAAACGTTCGAAATAAATCGTTATAGAACAATAATGCATACAATTTTAGGTTGAATAAAGCCTAATGAGCATTTGAAATTTTGTTATAAAGATGTTCATGCAGCCTGAAATACCTCATAGTCCAACAACTAGGATATCGCAAGATAAGCTAGATCATTCCTTTTTAGTACTACTATTAGGTTGTCCCAGAAGTCTTTTCACATCGGCGAAAATCAGCTAATCCTATTTCTTTAAATTAAAGCTTGAGCGACTATTTGATAGAGCAACTCTATAAGATGTCCTTCGGAAAATTGCAAAAGTTTATACTCGTGAAGCTTGAACCATTTGCTGAATTTTTCTATGGCTAGAAATCGAAAACAAAATATTCCAAAATTCAGAAAATGTTGGCTTTTCTAGGTTTTTTGGTAATAAATTCGTAATTTTTCGAAAAGTAGCACGTAGAAGGCTAAAATTTAGGTTGATATTCACTAAGATTCCTACTACAGATCTGTCTATGTAGAAACAGCCCAGAATAGCTTTTACAAAAATATGCAAATTTTATTTTCTCGATTTCTAGCAATGAAAAAAAATACAGCAACTGTATGTATGAATATCTAACGTGATTGTGTGTTTGAACAAGTTGGAAGTTCGTAGCATTTTTTTGGAAGAAGATCCGATTTTTTTTCAATTTTTTTGCATTTGGATCTTTTTAGATTTCGGATTTAAACTTTGTATGAATCACACTTGGTGCTAACATAATACTTGATTATAAACTTTAGCTATGCTTCAGCATAGGTTTATTTCCTCATCGTCGAAAGCTTTAATGCTGAATCTTTTTCATGTATGAAACTCATCCCTTCATGTAATTAGCCAAAATGTGAAGTTGTAATTATCTTTTCGCTATCATAAAGAAATTAATCAATTAAATGACCACCTTGTGAAACATTCGTATCTTTTGCGTGAAGCTCGTTCACTGTAAAACAGTGCAAACCATCGTTCCTCCCTTTCCCATTTCTGCTGTTTCATTTTACGTCATGTTTGAAAATCCTTATTCTCCTGCAACTTGAGTTCTTCTGTGAGTTCAAAGCAAAGCTGGGCTTCACCGAAGCACTTGCTTTCATGCCCTTCATTAAGCTTGATTTTCATGAACATGAGCGTCTTCTGTATGAAGTCCGCTCACTTAGAATCACTCCTTAGATGTGACTTTAGTATATCTGTTTCAGCCTCTAATTTTTTAACGAATCTATTCAGTAAGTCATGAGAATCTCAAGAACTCAGAAACAGAAGTTGCTTTGCTCAATTTCCACTTCAACTTATCTTTATCATCACCCACTGTTCTATTAATACTGAAGAAGTGGACCGAAGTGACCAGAGCTGCGTCTCATTTTGTTCACTTTTTTCCATCTCCATTTCTCTCTTATATACATAGGGGAATGAACTCCGCCAGTTTTGAGCCATCTCCGCTGGCAACTGGTCCTTTTGCATTGTTGTTGCATTTCGTTGCAGGACCAGTAGTCCGCGGAGGCGGTCCGAACTGGGAAGTTCGTTCCCCCACCTATTTCTCTTTTTTTTTGCAATTTATTAGTCTGCTCTTGCTACATCTTTCGACTATTGCATTACATCGCGATCAAGGAAATATCCAGATTAAGGAGAATGATGGTGCAAATGCAGCGAATACTTTCTGCAAAAACTTACCTAGTATAATTGAACAGTATAATCGACTTTCCTCATTCTTCAGCCCATTGTAATCAAAGAATAGAGAATGTCGACTTTGAACCCGAGCGTCTTAATCTACGTACATTTTAGTAGCGTATCTGCCATTAACACTTTTCATTTTCAGAACAAGAGCAAATAATGAATGTTACACCGCTACACCTACGATGTTTTCCTGAAGAAAAGCTGCAGCTCATGACCGAAGCCGACAGGCGCATTAATCAGGTGCGTATTCAGTCTTTTAGACTTTTGAGACTCATGGTGATTTCTAAGGGCTTTAAGATTTGCGTCATAACAACAGATTTCATTCTTTCAAAGTACAAAAGTAGTAAATCCACTATCACTACATAAAATATCCATAGCATGTACCTGCCGAAACCTTCTACACTGGACTATGACAAGCCCAACTTGTGATAGCAGCCAAAAAAAAAAGATTTTTCAAAGCATTATGTAGGTACTTGGGAAGGGGATATTAGTGCTTATTACGTCAGAGAAAACCAGATGGCTCGATAATGTGCTAGTGCTTTTGAAAGCTATGTTTAACTTTGACTCACACTACCCTAATTTCCGGGGTATAAGGCGCAGTAGCTTTTACCGCGCGCGGACTGATGTATGATGACGCTCGCGATGCGCGACGTCGCACAAGCAGCCGACAGCAACCTCTTCCCCTCAGCAATAGCTTTTTGCTCCCTTTTTGCAGTTTTCCTCTCAATAGTGAATTGTTTCAAAACATATCTTTATCTTCTCTTTGATTATCAAGAATGACAAGAATAGAACAACTGTAGAAACGATATCATAGTATACATTTTGAGAAGAGGAAAAAATACCTGAGGCATGACTTATAGGCAGCGAAGAATAACCACAGCACACTGAGTTTTCAGCTTTTTAGATTCAAAGAGCAAACATTTGAAAGCGTTTTCGCTCATTGTCCGCTGCGGCTGCTGCGCCTTATACAAGGTGCGCCTTATACCCCGGAAATTAGGGTAATTGCTAGCGACGCAAGAACAAAAAAAATGGAAAGCAGATTGCAATTTTACCCTGAATAAGCAACTACCTAAGCAGCTGCTCACATCACTTACTTGCAATCGAAGTATCATGGCTACACTATTTAACGTAACAACTTATAGAAAAAAATAGCTTGGGTCTCCACCTCGCCCTCTTCCAGAGCAACGGGACTCATAGTTTTAAAGGCAGCGTTCAGGCAAAATCCATCCACCCAGATTAGCACATAGTTGTAAAGAGGGGCCCATGAGTATCCGATCTGCGTTGGTCCAATCCTTTGACGTGCCCTCTAAAAGGAGATACGGGCCTGTGATACGTATCACAAGAAGCCCCTTCGTATCACAAACCACCTCTGAGGACGAGTGCTCACGCAGGGGTGCGGTTGCATTGCAGTTGCATTGCAGTTGTTGCACTACACACTGCAATGCAACTTTCGCTGGCATGACGATGGGGACGAGCAATTCGAAACTCGTCCGCTCTTTGAAGGGAGGGTCCCCAAGAACCCGGTTTTTTGGGAGTTTCGAACAATTTGGACTTTACAACTGTAATCAGGGCCACGGAAAGGCCCCAGAATGGCAAAAACATGAGAGGCGAAATTTGGCCTGACGCTGCCTTTAACACATTGACGGCGACGCATTTGTGTGGCCTGTGGGACGACGCAATTTTGCACAACACTATCGGTGTGGCAAGGTTTTGTGGTTATGGTTATTTATCAAGTGCAAGATTGTTTTTGAGTAAGCAACTATAAACACTTTCTTGAACGACGGAGCCTAGAGGTCCTCCCAAGACTGTAAAAAATTGGAAAAAATATTAATATGTGGCAGTGACGGCCCCAGGATTTCGGACCGGGGGTAGCCAGGCACTCCGAAAAATTTTTTGGGGTGCTTCTCAAAATTTAAGAAATTTTTTTATAAGGCTATTTTGGATTTTTGAAAATTTTGGAAATTATTTTAATTATTTACAAAAATAAACAAGTTGTTTGCGCATTTTCATAATCCATATAGGTAAGTTTCAAAAATTTCGCGACCCATTCTCGGGGGGGGGGGGCCCTCCCCCGCCCCCCCCCCCCCCTCGATCCGCCATTGATATGTGGAAAAAATACTATTAGGCCCACAAATGATTTGACTTTGTAAGAGGTATGGGTCACCAGTGGTCCACATCGTCCTTGGCAGCAAACAGTGCATGGGCCACCGGTGTCCACATCGTCGTCAATTGGTTAAGTTGCAAATGATGTAGCAAATACGAAAATTGTGAGATGATGCTTGATGGTTCTTCTTTTCGCCAAATAAAGCCTTGCCAATACAGATTGACTATTTTCTTTTCAGTTCATCTTTCCGATGCAGTTCATCGTTGCTGTTGGAGGCAACTCGCTTACGATGTCTGTTCTACTTGGTCCTCATATGAAAAATAGGTAGATCACATTTGCATATTGAAAAAAATGCAGCTTTTAGTTAGGAGGAGCGATTTTGCAAAGAGGTCTTACGCCGAAAAATTGTTATTGGTTTTGAGTCGATTTGCATGATCGCAATGCCGTTAGGACACTCTTCCATACGGACCGCCGTCGCGGCGGCTTTCCGCGTGCGTGACACGTTCAGACATGCCACGCAGGATGGCTACTGAGTACTGTAGTCAAAATGGCCCTCTTTCTAAATCGCTGAAAGCCAGGAGTGTCGTGCAAGTGAAGTATAGAAATTTGCAAAATCTGATCAATCTCTCGACAAAGAATTTAGGCAGTTGTTTCCTAGTGATCGGGGATATACAGCCTCTTAGGCCCGAATGCACTAACATCCCTGCGGCGAGGGGAGCGACGTCCCCAATGATGTAAAAGTCGTAGCGGCGTCCGCACGCGACCCCTTCATAATGGGGGATGCCGCTCCCCTCGCCGCAGGGATGTTAGTGCATACGGCCCTTAGTCACATACTGTTTTTTCGTAGAAACTGCGTGTCCGCAACGCGAGCGCCTCGCGTGCAATGAGGCCAATCGAATGCGCAAGCAGTACGCTCGCAAAAGTGGCGCAAACGCGGCGCGAGGCTGGAGCGTGCTGATTCCCTGCTGTGATCGGGGGTATGCGAGTGACACAGACTGTAAACTGATTTTCAAACACTGTTCGTGCACCCGAATTTTTCAAGGTTACATCACATATCCATATCATATTAGGTCGAAAGTTTTGTCGGTTTTTTCAGACCACTATAAGACCACGCACAATGAAGATCTGAATGGGCTTTAGCATGTATTCCATGCAACTTCTCCTTCTCTTTCTTGTGGTTACATTTACGAACCACAATCCTGTATGCTTTCTTTGATAATTGCTAAAATTCTTCACCCGTCATTTTTGTCTGCTCAAAGTTCGGCTAATTTTTGAAAGTTTCATTTTAGAATTTCGAAAGTGTTAAGTAAAGATTAAATAGAGCAATTCTCGGACTACAAGATGACTCTTTTAGATTCCACTAATCTGCTGATTTTCGCTTCAAAAAATTATTTCTTCGGAGGTCTCGATTTTTGGCAAAGTCATGAAACACGCAACTGCAGCAAATACATGAAAACTTCTGAAGTTTCTGCGAATTGCAACATGATTCTTATTAAACACTATTTACGCAACATTACCCAGTTTAACTTGCTTCAAAAAAGCAGCTTTTTGGAATTTTCGGTACTTTTACGTGGCAAACGTAATCAAAAAGCAGTGGTTTTTATTAAATAAATAAATATAACGGACTTGGTAAACGTGACAAACGTAATCTAAAATGGATTCAATGTAGCCAAAGCTTTGCTCTACATAACAGTTACCAGCGCTTCTTAGAAGTGTTAGGATAGAAGTTTTTAAAATTCAGGAAAGGCTTGGCGTTACTGTTGAGCTGCTCAAAAAGCCATGGCGATAACGTTGCAAAGACAGGGTAGGTCAGAGAGCAAATATAGCTGTAAGAAAGAGGATGAAAATATAAATTAAATGGTACCTAGAACGTTTATGGACTGGTGTTCTGTGAGTTTTAGTGAGCGATGAAAAAACCGACAAAACTTTCAACCTAATATATTTTAGATAGCATCACATTTTTCGATATTTAGAGCAAATCTACTGCTGGCGTTTCTTGCTTTCTGCGATATACTCGTATTTGTGATGATGTTTCCGCATTACCTCGCTTCTCTGGATCTCTTTGCAAACAATCTGGAGTTTCGTTATATATACTACCTCACAAAAAGGCATCTTGGGGCGTTGACTAATTGGTTCTCAGCTGCAGCAATTTGGTAAGTTACTTCTTGTGCCAAAGTAAGTAATCGAATTCATAATTTGCAGGTTTGTGCTTGCTGTCTCTGTTGAACGTCTGTTGATTATCAAATTCCCTTTTCGCTCATTGGATAATTATAATGTAAGTATATTTTCATATTGTGGAAGAGCTAGTTCATCAATTCACCTAAAGGGGAGTGGTACAAAGAATTTATGAGCAGTCACGCTTGAGGCTTTTCAAAATTCAAGAGCGTGATTATTCGCATTTTGAGCATGACTGCAATGGGCGGGAATGTCCCGATCCAATTTTGCGATTACTCAAGGAAGTGCCGCCCCCCCCCCCCCACCTGTCTAAACTCTTTTGCATCACCTGTGGCAGCCGGCTACCTCTTCCACTCAGATAGTATTCGCGTCCAAAGCAAGTTTTTTACGTCTCTGAAAGCCGCGGAGTACAATTCCATGTTGAAAATTAAAAGTAGGTCGGAAAAGGCACTTCGCTCAAGATGCCCTTATTTTTAATACTCTTTATATCAAAGGGGAAGGCAGCCAGTATGAACGATAACTTATGCCAGCCTAGGCATTGTGTAGTCCTACCTTTCTGAAGTCTATGTAATCGTTTTAATATTATTTCAAGAATTTTTAAAAAGTTTGTGTGCTTAATAGGTTTTGTTCCTTGCTTTTCAACCCCGCCTTCAAGCCGCGAAGAGCATGACTGTGGCGTCTTGTTGGGCTCAAGTCACCTAGCTGGAAGACTTAGACCCAGTACTCTCCCAATATGATTATGTGCTCAAAATACTGCGTTATTCTAATACGTAACTAAACGACACGAGTTGAACCAACTCAGTGACACTGAAATAAACTACGCTTACTAATACTACGTATATACCCAAGAAGACCACCGCATCGGAGCTTTTCCCACGCAGATGCGCGAATACAACTTGATCTCAAATCTTATGGAACACTATGTACCGCGGTAACAATGGGGATCGCGGAACATGTCTATCGACTACCGTAATCGTCAACGGACAGCGCGGCGATCGATACTTTTGGCCGTTGTGCTTGAGGAGCACCTTGCATCACGAGACTCAACTATAATGCAATAATGCGTTGAAAAAATGAGAATACCTACAGTCGAGTAGATTTCCTGCTTAATATAGTGTCCTTGCAGACGCGGCAACGCTGGGGCGTCAATAATTGCCTGACGTGTTCCCGAGTTTAGTGTTTTCCAGTGTTTTCTTTGCTTATTCTATGCTTTTTAGGTGATTCGTTGCTGATAAAGAAGAAAAGGGTAAGTTAGAGAGTAATTTCTGTTCTCTGAGAAGTTCTATCATCGCATATTCACAGATATCCACGTGGAAGCAGTTCGCGTCAGCTTCTTGTCTATTTTTTTTGTCACTTCATGTCTCTTTCTTCTTGTGAGGTACTTTTTTAAATGCTAGTGGGTTTTTCCGATTGACTTATTGTCTTTATCACATGAAGTACTTGATTAAAATGCTATTTCTTATGGATGAAAGCCGAAGTTGCTGCAATACAAGCCAAAGACTAGCGTTCAAAGAAACTCCTCAGAAGAAGGAGGAGGTTTGAAAGAAGAAGTGACAGAAGAAAAGGGAATGACAAGAAGAAATAGACAAAAAGCTGACGCGAAATGCTTCCACTGGATATCCGTGAATATGCGATGATAGAACTTCTCAGAAAATAGAAACTACTCTTTAACTCACTCTTTTCCTCTTTATCAGCAACGATTCAACTGAAAAGCATGAAATAAGCAAAGAAAACACTGGAAAACACTAACTCGGGAACTCGCAAGGCACTTATTGACGCCCCAGCGTTGTCGCGTCTGCAGAGACACTATATTAAGCAGGAAATCTACTCGACTGTATATGTATCTCGGCCCTCACTCTCAACGGCACTCGAGAATTACGTTAGTCCCATCCCCGTACGGTATCATTGCGCTATTATTTTTCTTGGCCCACACTCTAAAAAGTGTAATCGAGACCTACAATTAGTCTCGTATGCATTAACATCCCGCGGTATGGGAGGGAGCTCCTACTTCAGGCCAGTAGCGTAAACCCAGCAGAGAGCGTATTGCTTGCTAAAGCCCCTTACAAAAATACTCAAAATAATAATCATATTTGAATTCAGTAAACTTGTGCAACTTCTCAATTTCAGTCTCGTCAAATCGTTTTCGTGTCGCTATGCATTTTATGCGCTACATTTGTATTGACAAGGTAAGCGGAGTTTTGGATTAGTCTACTCTTTCTATTTCCGTTTTCACATCTCCGAGATAATTCTTGATATTGATCTGAGGCGTCATGCTCATTTCTGTTCCTGTTCCCAGCCATTTACGCAAAATCAGTAACAATTGTAGTCCTTCTTCGTTGTGGGTCAAAAAAAAAACGCCAGCGGATTACTAGCTTGCAAGCTGATTAAGTCGTGAATAAATATGACTGAGAATTGCGATAGCTATATACATACAGAAGGGAGCAGGAAGCTTTATGAGAAAGAGGCGAAAAATGCATGAGAATAGAGTTCGAATGTAATGGCTGAAATTAGAGATCAATTCACAACGAAGACCAAACGATGCAAACCATTCACAGATTATAAATCACTATTCAACCGTAACCTTTCCATAATCTAGCTATCATCACGTCTCGCATACCTGCAAAACATGGCCTGTCTGCTCCGGAACTCAGCTAATAGGCCTGTGTTTCTCAAATGTGCTTCAAAACTGGGGGAAACAGAAGAATCCGACGTCGGAGTTTGTTCGAGAGTGGATCGAGTTGTCCGTTTTTTTAAACGCTGCCTTTGCTGTATTATTACCTGTGTTTGCCGTGGGTGCGATAAATATTTCACTCATCAAATTGATGAAGAAGAGGAACTGTGAGGTGGGTAGAAAATAAGATTTTTGGGAACAGTGACCAAAATATAGTTCAGGAGTTGCTCGTCAATTCGGTAAATGTTAATCCGGAAGCAATCCATGAGCAAGAGCGAAAGATGACAACAACAGTGTTGGCCATTGTTACTTGCTTCACGCTCACACAGGGTCCATCTGCCATAGTGTTCGTCTATCAAATACTATACGGATCCACTAGGTACACTTCAATCTTGCTAGCTTCAATTTGTTAATATCTTATTTTCCTGCTTCAGCAATCTGCAAATTGCATCTGTAGTCGCCAATCAGTTGGTCCTTACTGGAAAAATGCTCAATGTTGTACTATTCTGCATGACTTCTTCAACGTTCAGAAGGAAGCTAGTACAAACCTGCAAAAGATGGCTCTTCCTAATCTGCTATTGTGAGCAACAAAGGTAGAAATGTGCAAATTTCGCAAATTGGGTTGAAACTAACAGCATTTTAGCTCACGCTTATCACATGCAAACTCGAAATCCGGCATGACACAACGTACATCGGTGATGTCTTCGTGGAGCTTTCGCACTATGCGATCGTCGTTCATGTCTCATGTATCGCAGAGATGATCGTCTGGATATTGGCGAAGCACACAAAAAGGCCATTCATCGCAGAGACTGGACGGTTTTGCGTCCGCTTGAGATAGCACGTGTGGGGGAAACAACAGACGTCTTGAGAAGTAAAAGTACTTTTGTTTCTTTGAGACGCCGACTGCGACCCGTCTCTGCGTGCATGACTCGGACATCTTCACACTTTTTTCAACTTACCTTCCTCTACGGGTAACTGTGATCTCCTCGTGCTCATAGATTGTGTACATATCCTTCAGGTAAACTGAGAATCTTTGTAATCTCAAACTTGATATTTTTGCATATATAGTGGACATTACAAGTTTTGTATGATGAAGATTTGGCAGCAATATATACTATTTACATCTCGTTGTGCTGAATAAATACAACCCGTAATCTCCAGATTTTTGTGAAAATAAGAATATAAGCAGTGATCAACTATTGAACTCCAAAAGCTGGAAACTTTAGAAAAGATTCAAAATGCAGTAACATCTTTGTGACTTCTGTCTTGCATATGGACATTATAAAAGGTACAGTAAAAAAGATCAATTTCTGCTTTTCTAGGCAGAATTGGTGGCGCATTTTGAAAGCTCTCATTTCCAATGGTAATGATGCGGTATTTCTAGTTTCTTTACATACTCAAGAACAAATCCTTATATTCGCTTCTGAGGTACAATACGCTAATCCCGAACGTCCACCTTGGAGTAGCAAAAATGAAAATTTCAAGCAGCTTTCAGGTGCATTTAGAATTTGGACGAGTAGAACTTTTGCCAGGTGGAGATGCACGCGGACATCTGGTTATAATTAGGATCAATCGTGGGGTGTGACATGCCACACCTGGGGGTCGTTTTGAGGGGGCGAGAAGGGGGAGGGGGTCGTTATCGAGGGATTTTTCTTTGGATATGGTTTAATTGCACCTTTTATTTTTTAGGTTGTTTACAGTTCTATTATTTAATGATGTTAATGATAACATGATATTCGTCAACAATGAGATAGATAGGCATCAGATGGGCACATGCAAAATGCTAGCACATTGATGTTTTGGCCTAGTGTCGCATACGTACAGCAAGCGAAGGAGCCTTAAAAGCGTAAGAGCATCGTTTTTGTGACTATCATTTCAAATAACTCCTGTGAACCAAGTTTCAGCAAATTCTGAGGTTTCCAAATATTGGGACACCCACATGTTAACTTTGTTTCAAAGGTGAGTTGACTAATTTTTTGCGCTCAATACAAAGAACTACTAATTATTTGCTCATGTTAGGAATCCCACTTGAATAACGTTCAAGCTGTGGAATTGAGAGCAAGTCAATTTCAAGTCATTTTTTTTCCATTACTCGTTTTCAACATCTTAAAGTAGAGAAGACCAATCAGGCTCAAATGACTTGTGAAATTTACCAGGTTTAGGATATTGAAGACATTCAATCTTGCCGCCTACCATACCTTCGATAGTCTAGAGACAGGGCGTCAAAAGTGAAGGTTGTTTGAACAAAGGACGTCATAAAAGTGAAGGTTGTTTGAAGAAGTTCAAGAAGAGAAGATGACGTAAAACAGATATAAAAAGCAAAAGAAACTGCTGAAAACCGGATAAAAACGCTGCAAAGAGGTTTGAAATCTTTCATTTGGCTGCTTTTCAAGGGCAAGTTTTCGCTCCAGGACCAGCAATTCGCAACACGGGGTTTTTATTTTTGATGCGTCCTTTAAATTTTTACCCCCGCACTGACGTTCCTGTTTACTGGGACGTTGTCTGGATTGTTGCGCTTATTGTTCTGAGCAATAATCGCCCAAGCTGGAAAAAAATCGATGCGAAAGCACTGAAACAGAACAAGGTAAAAAACACTTTTTACGATTTTTCGCAAAAAATTCCACCATAGTCAAAGAGGTAAGGGCTGGGTGGTTGTCTGCATTATGAACAGAAGCAAGATCTATAGAATGCACGAAAAAACCGCGTGAAAATAGTTAACTTAGGAGAAGAACAAGACATTTTAGAAAACAAGGTTTTTGCCGGATTTCTCGATCAAATCAAAAAATGCGGTTCTGGGACGTTGTCAGCGTGAAAATAGAGATCAAGAGCAAAAATGATTTATACCTTGCTAAAATTGGGTTCGAAAGAGCGAAGAAAAGGGTACCAGAGCCAAATGCCCCGCGCCCCGCGTTTGGGGTAGCGAGATAGCGCGCGGCGCACGGAGACGCAGACGAGCAGCGGAGACAGACCAGAGCCGACGGAGCATGCTCTGGCAGTAGATCTCCGCGGGCTTCAACGAAACCCTGCAACATTATATATCATTCTGATCGTCATGACACGACGAGAAGAATTGAAACGTCCCAAGCTTTGAAAATCACTCATTGACGAGGTAGATCAGCGTTTTCGTGCGCGACTCTCTGCGCAAGATTTAAGCGCAGTTTCTCGTTTTTATTTAACTCCAATAGCTTTCCTAAACTTCTGAAACTCGATTTCATTCAAATGAGAGGATAACTGAGAGATTTTGTCTTGAATTCTGGCGAAGATTCCACGGAAACCTTCTTTTAAGGTAAAAAAGGCTATGAAAACGCAAATTCTCGGTTTCGCTGAGATAACTAAAGATATTATTCCCTATATTTGCTTCATTAACATTCGTTCCGATATACTCAGGATAATAACATCCGGGGCGAAGCCCCAGATGACTTCTTTTTTTTTCCAGGTGAAGGTTGTGTCTCCCCATAGCCCTCAAAGTGAAGGTTACCAGAGTACGTGGCTCTATGTAACAAGCAGTGGCGTACCGAGGGGAGGGGGGCGGGGGAGGGGGGGGGGGGCGCGCCTCCCCCCCCCCCCCGAGAACGGGTCGCGAAATTTTTGAAAATTACTTATATGGGTTATATTAGGTTGTAGCAGAATTAATGCAGGTTTTCTAAATTTTGTGTTTGAATCATTATAACTTTTTACACAAATAGTCTTTTCGTGTGCAGCAAAAATTGTTGTAATCAGCAAACCTTTCTCAACTCAGTATGCGTTATTGTGTTGTTATAGCTTCACTGAGAAAAATCTTACAGCCCCCAAGAACTTTTTCGGAAAACCTTCACTTTAAAAGACCATAACTTACTATCAAATGTAGTAAGGTAGCGCAAATATAACTCACTGTGTAGCCTATGGTCGGTTGTGCAGCAGCACTAAATTTGGGATTGAAAAATAATTCTTTGCGAGAGGATATTTGGAAAAATTTTGAAAGTACTCATTTTTTCGACTTTTCTGAGAATTTGAAAAATTACTTTTCTGAAACTTTTGAATTTTTTCAAAGATGTGTAGGGAGAATGGCTCCCGATTTTTTCAGCCATAAATGCCTAAAGTCTATTCTTCCTATATAAAGCGGGAGCTCAGCATCGCTTCGCGTTGAGGATTTTTATACAGGACAGACGGACCACAGCGACCGCTGAAATTTGCTCTGAAATTTCTCGGCTGAGATGTTTTCAAAATTCATGAGTCAGCATGCATTTTGTAACATAGCTCACTCAAAAATATTATTTAAATTTGCAGCGAATTCCGATTGTATCTGGTGGTTTTAGAACCAGGTATGTTGAGAGAAAGAATTTCGAGATTTGGTTTCTTAATTTCATGAACTCAGAACTTTTAGATAAATTCACTTCCACTGAAACGAAAGAATGCATAAGAAACTAGAAGAAAAGAGCTTTCAAATAATATGCAAAACTCTCTGAGAAATCACTTTCCTTTTCTAAACCAGCATTCTGAAAAAGTTGAGCGAAAAACCTGCATTAATTCTGTTACAACCTAATAAAATTGTGCAAATGACTTGTCTGCACTTGTAAATAATTAAAATAATTTTTAAAATTTTTAAAAATTCATTTTAGCTTTATAAAAAAAATTTTTCGGGGGCGTGGCTCGGGGACCCGTGAAAATTTTGAGAAGCACCCCAAAAATTTTTTCGAATTGCGTGGCTGACGCCACGCACCTCCATTAGAAAAAAATTTTTGTCGCCCCCCCCCCCCCCGAGCCGAAATCCTGGGTACGCCACTGGTATCGAGGGTATGCCGCCTACTCCCTATTCACTTAACAGTGCAGACTTAGCATGCTACTGTAACCCAATATTTTCGTAGTGCCATTTGCATGTATAAGAAGAAGCGACTACATCTTTCCCGAGAAGAAACGATCTTGATTCAGACTTCTAGTATGAGGTTAAATTGGGAGATTTGGACATTATAGGACACTATCATAACCAAGTACTAAGGCCTCTATCTAAAACTATCGCACAAGTCCGATTTTTGTACACCCCTGTAAAAGAGAAAATCGGCACAGAAAACGCCCTCGAGGACCAACTCCCTCGCTTGGCCACGGCCCTTGGACGAACTGACCCCAGCCCTTGACGTGTTTTCACGTGGCAAACACAGTGGAACACAGTGTCTACCTGTTAGTGCTTGCTTTCGACAAGGATTGCATTAGAAGCACTCGTCCACGCTTCTCGCAAAATGCCTCAAAATTGGGGTTTTTCAAGGTTTATGCAATTTGAGTGCCATATTTGCAATCAGCGTCATGAAACGGCCTGGATAAGACAAAAAAACAGAAGTCGAGATTCTGCAGATTTTCACTTAAAATTCCCGTAGGTCCAGATTTGCCTGGACGCTGCAAGTAATTTTGAAGTCTAACTAAGGCGGCCCAAGCGGCAGCGCAAATGACTCATTAACGGCTGAGATATTCGCCTCCAAAGTGACCCCAGGATCTTATTATTGGACAACTTGCATCGTGCTTGCATGCTTTCGCGCGAGAACCAACGCAAAACTGATAAGTCGCGCAATGAATCCATGCGAAATACGATCCTGGGATCTAGGGGGCGAGTATTTCAGCCATTAGAACACCATTGGAGCTGCCGATGTGGCAGTGTCTTAGTTAGGGTCCCAAAAATATTGTCCACATAAGATCCTCATTTGTCTGGACGCCTTTGAGCAGTGACAGCGATATAGAAAGAGATATTTGAATTTGTAAGTTAATGGGGTGGTTCGCAACCCCCTAAAAGTTG